TTCAAAAAATGTAAAGAAATATATTTGATGTAAAATACATAATATTATAAAAAATGATATTATTCTGTATCAGTTATCTATTTAATAGTCTTCACATAACTTTATTAATTATTATTATATTAATAATAAACATAATAAAGTATTAATAATAAAGTAACACTACTGATAAAAGTAATTTTTTTATTAGAATAATGTTAATATATATACACCTTATATGTATATAACATATATCTCTCTTTATTTCTTTTAAAATACAATATTAATCTCCTTACCTTAATATTTAATACATCATTACGAATAAATTGGACAAGAGGAGGTATTTTTTTCCAAATGGCGATTGGGGCAAGACCAATTCCCAATTTTATTTTTGTATTGTATTCGGGTTTCGTGGATAATAAAATAAAAAATGCGGTAGTTCCCATCGAGTGACCGATGTAACGTAAATTTTTTTGTTTTGTATAATTAAGTATATAATCGAACATAGCTGGTAAATCTCTTCTTCCCATTTCATGAAAGCTAGACAATAAAAGTCTATTTTATTTTCCTTTCTATTATGCTTTTCAGTCTATCAAATGTACCAAATAATTGTTACAAATTTTTTAATTTAATTTTTTCATAACAAAAATATGAAAACATACATACAATATAATACATCTATGGACAGCATTATGAGTATTTTTTCTTTATTTAAGAACAATCGATTTTAATTATTAATTTTAGTTTTTTCCAAACCTATTTTTTGAATTAAACAAAATGGAAGACATAATAAAGTAAGATTAATATAAGTAAATTATTAAAAATGTGTTAAAATTTAAAAATTAATAAAAAGTATTTCTTTAAAATAAAACTTGTAAAATAAAGTTTTTATACCTAAACTGCCAGAAGTCCTTATTTTGTGAAGACATTTTTATATGTGATCTACAATAAGGATTTCCCTGATATTTCCAAGCCATACATCATATCCTTCATCAGCCAATAAAAATGCTATAACACAAGATAACGATGTATAATTAGTTTTCTTATTAATGTTATCGAATTACCTACTAATAATAAATTAATTCGACTAAGTTAGAGCTAAAGATAAATTTTATCAAATATCACATTATTGTTAAATAATGTTAATTGTAATCATCTTTCTCTGTCAGTATAGAAACAGGATCGTCCCACGCACTGCGAAAGATTTCATGTGGACTTAGAGTAAATAGAAAGTGAAAATTTAAAAGGTTACGCTCGAAGTTACATCGCCGCCTAGATGACAATGTAATTTTTTGAATCTAATTAACATAATTTAATAATTAATGTATTATGTGTTCATTGCCAATCACTCACCAAGGTCTTTGCCAGGACCAAACAACACCCAGGTATCAGATGAGGCCAAAATACCATGTTGAATGAAAACAATTTTTCTACTCTGTTTCTTAGATAAAGGACTTCCTGGTATTCTGTGTATTACCAAGTTATAACCATCTTCCGTTGTGACGTAATGCTCTTCGGCGGGGTAACCATGTCTCTCTACTAAACCGATCTGCGTAAACATATAGAATGTTAAAGAGTTCAAGATTTTTCAATAATCGTAAGTGTCGATCCACAATAAGGATTTTAAGCCCTAAGCAGTAGAAATAGACCAATCGTAGTCGAATATTTGGAAAATAATTGATTGTAATTGGTCAATATCTTACGGTGTAAGGCTTAAATAAGCCTTATTGTGGACCGACACTAATATATATATGAAATTTAATAACGTAAAAAAGGCAATGTAGATAAGATTTGATAAGATTTTAAGAATATTATTTATTTTCTCACGGTTACAAAATTTTTTTTAAATATCCTGTAATTCAAAATGAGTTGAGGCACGTTTCTTTTATAGATAATGTTATTTTACATAATATTTGTTGCTTACAAGTAAACCTCGGGAACGTCAGACGCCAAAAAAAATGTTTTTATTTTACGTAAATACACAATTTTACACATATTTAAAGCTGTATTTCTTACAAAAATGAATTTACACCAAATTTTTTGAAACCTTTTTATATTTTTTTATAGATTTTTGGATGTAGATTCATTTGTGTAAGAAATACAGCTTTAAATATATGTAAAATCGTGTATTTACGTAAAATAAAAAATTTTTTTTTATTAAAAAATAAATTTGAACTAAAACTAATAATAGATTCTTTCATATTTTGACATAAGAAATATCTGTAAAAAATTTGAAAAAAATCGGCGTCTGACGTTCCTCGAGGTTTACTTGTTAGATAAAAATATTTTAATAACTATATATTGCTACTGATTATAAAACATTCTTCCTGCAGTAACTTGCTGTATTAACATTTATACAATCGTTTATACAGCAAGATGTTTTCTGGATTAACAAAATTCTTTTGTCTAAATAAATCCACATCTTTTAATTGAGCTATTATTTTTTCAAGTTTGTCTTTAACAAGCAAAAACATCAAAGAATAATTTTATTGTACTTACAAAATCCAATATGGCTACATTGTTTGGTTCTATTTTGACATCTTCTGGCTTCCTTACTCTCACTATACCAGGATTCTTAGGAAATATAAAGTTGAGCAGTACTTTCGGAAATGATTCTAAGTTTCCCCCAAAATTTGCTTCTTCCCGTGATTCCAGTGACATTATATTGAGCATAAATATGAAGAAAACAAATTTCATATTTATCTTTATTTTATCGTTGATGCAATTGTAAACTACGTATAACTTATTGATATCAATAGTATTATTTCGTAAGTTTGATGGCACTTGTTCTTGTTTGAATTTCAAGGAACCTACAAATGCAATTAGTATTGTGTTTATTTATAATTATTTAATGTTAATTTTTTCTTAATATCAATAAATATTAAAATATAAATATAAAAAATGTCATTAAATGTCATGTGATATTAATTTTTGTAAAAATTAGGATTGGTAATTAAAACTGATAAATAAAACTTGAATTAAAGGTTGATATTTTTCTAAATAATCACGAATATAATCTGCGAGACGAATGTGAGAGCGCGTATTTTTATATCTTTTGTGATTTCATAACATTCATGCGTAATAAAAATTTGTTTAAACAAATAAATATTGAAAATTAATATTAATATAATAATTCGTCTGCTCTCTTTTTGTCTTATTGTATTTTATATAGATTTTATAATAGATGTTTTCTAAGATCTATGATATTTCCAAATTGTGAATTCTTACAATTTATATTAAGTTTTAAATTTATTATTATATCGGTAACATTTTATTACAAATATTGGCACTTAATCGATTTGTATCATAAATTTTCAAAATAGGAATTGAGAACTATTGCTTGTATGTTTCTGTAACTTACACTGTCCATCATTTTACATGCATGTTTTATAATGATGTTACTGTACTTATAATGTTAATGTACTCGTACACATTTTATACTAAACTATTATTGCACTCACCGATATATACAATTAAAACACCTTAAATTATCTCTTAAAAACTAAAAACATCCTCAGCAATATATTATTCGATCTCTAATGTGTTCTTATATTGATTTTATAGTCTAGAAACATTAACTACTAGATACGGCGGATAAACTGAAACTATCAGCGTTGAACGCACAGCGCGCAAACAGATATGTTATGCAGAAGCGTCACAGTAATACAATCGGTCATTATATAAGTTGTCAAGACCGTGTGTCAAAAACTTCATGATACTTTACTAGACATGCTTCAGCCACTCGACTTTTATCTAGGAAGCTAAATTAAATCTGATTTTTTAATGAGTAATTGATTGTTGACTTGAGTTATTGAATCATCATGGATGATTGTTTAGATCAAACAAAAAGATCTTTGCTCATTTATTCTTACCGGTGTTTCATTGTTTTTGAAAATAGGAAATCAAAATTTTACATGTTTATATATTTCTCTTATTTACATGGTCCATCATTTTTTGTGTATGTTTTATATTTAAATATGTATTAAATGAGCAATGAGCCGAGTCAGATATTCATACTATATTATAAAGCAGCTTTAATCAATAAAAACAAATTACATATAAATGTCTTGATAAATTGGGTCATCCTCAGCGTAATAATAAAAAAACTTACATGAATATAATAAAACGGTGAGATCATAAAAACGTAAGTATTGCTTCCAAATGAATTCAAGTTTAACGTTAGATACCAACTCCGTGTAAAGGCGGAAGAACATCAAATGCAGAGTCCGTATAAAAGTAATTGTCCAAAGGAAACATGCTTGTTAAAAGGAGAATTTGTGTGATAATAGTCAAGAAAATGAATTTGAAAAAATGCGATGTTATGGATAAAATTAAATATAGGGAATTAAAAATCTGATTAAAACATACCTTATTAAAAATGTAATGACGATCGGGATAATACAATTTTCAAAGTGAATGAAGTCATGGTAACAGTCAAAAATGTACAGATAGAATGACAAGATATATATAATGACTCAAGAACAAAGGAAAAATTAAAACGGAAAAGAGGGGATAAAATAGCAGAGAAGAAATCTATGGAAGGAGGCACTTAGGTGGGAGGTAGAACGTCAAGGATAGATAAATAGGATTTGGAAGGGAATTGGATGACGCTTTGTTTATTTGATCTTTGTGTTTGTTTTATGATGTAAACCATTAGAGACATCAATCTCTTATTGTAGTTAGATTCGTTGTCTAGAATCTGTACCTTATTTCAAAATCATGATCATCTTATTTATATACGGTGTTCAGAAGTTACCGAAAAGGAACTAGTTTCTTTTATTGTTCAGAAAAATGTTTGCAGATTTTAGTTTCCAATTAACGTTTCGTTTGTCCAAAGTACGATGCATTACACTGTCGAGGCATAAAATTTAATATACTACCCCACTGTGAGACATAAACTCGGGAATATTCTTACTAGTTTTAGCAGTTTTAATATATATTTTTTAAAGTGTTATAGAAATGGAAAAACCCAGTTTTATATTGCATTTTTTAATAATGCATAAAAACATCTCTGAAACGATCTCTACATTTTTACAAATTATTATTTTAGAATTTTCAACCAATACATCAAATTGCAGAATCACAAGTCAGAATTGGAACATTATAAATATTTAATAATAATAATAATATGGTAACTTTAATTGATAAGTTACATGTCAGAATTTTACACAAGGAATTAAGGAATCCTGTATATAATACAGGACATACTAATATTATATTTTAATTCATTTCTTATCGTTATAGTTCATGTTGCCAGCCTTAAAAAGATCTTGGTAAAAACAGCGTTGCCATGACAAAAAATAATATTATTCTTATTATATTTGTCAAAAAAGGATAATTTGTCGCATTTTGTAGCCAACAATTTAATATAAATTTTTTTATTAATAGAGATTGGTATTTTCTATACTCGTGTAATTCGAAAGTAAGCAAATATTTTTAACAAGAAAGTATAAGAATCAGATATAGAATAATTCTTCCTTGATTGTTCACGCCTAATTATCAAACTCCTGAAGTAATTCTATTACACGATCGTATATTAAAGTCTTAGCATTGATTGCCCATAAAAAATCCAGATGACTAAGTAATTTATATGGATTTTCCTCCAGCATGATAATATTCGGCAAGTGCTTATATGTCTCCAGAACATTCTAGAAATAAAATTATAGAATTAAAATTAGTAGTAATGATAAAAGAAACATAAGCAATTATTTCTCGAAGGTTGTTTGTATATCTATAAATAATAATATAGATAGATAATATGAGAGTTAGGAAGAAAGGAAAATGACAGAGAGGAAAGATATTTTGCATAATATTAGGAAATATAGAATAAGTAACATTACTTAAAAACTTTAGGTAATTTTAAATTATTTACAGTTAAAAAACATTTTCGATTTTTTTTACCTAAATTAAAAGCTTGCATAAAACAAATAAAATCTTGCTATAAACATACACATTATAAGTGTATATATATAAGTAAAAAATATATATTAAAGAAATATAAAATAATATTATATGTATAAGTTATATATATATTTTATTTCTTTAATATATATTTTTTACTTAAGAGATGTTTTTATAAAAATTAAAAGTGAACTTACCGATTTTAAACTGACCATATCATTAGCGCCGTAAAAGAAAACTAAGGGTGCTGTAACTTTTTTAAGATCATACATTATAGGTGTTTTCTGCCCATATTGTTTGTAATTGCCAGCATGTCCATAGTCATAGGCTTGAAATTTGTCTGCAACAATCAATAAATTATTACGTACATTAATATGGAATTAAAATTAAACGTATTTGTACATTTTAGTTTTTATTTAGATAAATATAAAACATCATGTGATTACGGACAATGTGTTTAAAAGATTGGAACGGTTATTTTATATTATTAATAGAGACTAAAAAAGTGAAAATAAAAACTGATAATAATAATAGGCAACATTTATATACGTTTTAAAGAATATTTTTATGATTAATATAATTAGTTTATATTATTATATTAATAATAAAAATATGTCTGAAAAGGAAAGTAATACTCACGCGTAATAATATTTTGGTAAAAATGATGTAACGTTTGTACGGAACATCCAGCCGGAAAATGCGATAATATTTCCGGTAATGCTGTCTAGAATGAATCGTTTTATTAGAAACAATTTTGATTTGTTGCATATTAAAATACACAATATAAATTAAAAAATGTTAATTTGTAATATTTAATTTTCAAAAGATACTAAACAGTGTTACAGGTATTACAATTAACAATGATAAATTAAATATGTATATTGTACAGTATTAAGTTGTGCTGGATCGGATCCAACGATTAGAAATGTTATCGCAACACAAAAAGGCTGAGTAATTGCTTCATCGGCACACAGTGATTTTCCAATTGTAATAGTTGTTGATGACAAGGAAACTACTTCGTATATTTCATTAACATCAAGAAATTCCTAATAAACAGATATTAAAAAAATATGAAAAATACGTAAACAATAAACAGAAAAGGAAATATGAGAAATACGTAAACAACAGATATAAAAGAAAATATGAAAAATACGTAAACAACAGTAAAAAATACGTATTTAACAGAATTGCAATGGAATCTAATAAATGTAACTTTATTAATTATTATGATATGAACAATAAATATAATAAAGTATTAATGATAAAGTAATACTACTGATAAACCTTATTTTTTTATTAGAATAATGTTAATATATATATACACATCTTGTATGTATATAACATATATTTCTCTTTATTTCTTTTAAAATACAATATTAATCTCCTTACCTTAATATTTGATACATCATTACCAAAAAATTGGAGAAAAGGAGGTATTTTTTTCCAAATGGCGATTGGGGCAAGGCAGATTCCCAATTTTATTTTTGTGTTGTATTCGGGTTTCGTGGATAGTAAAATAAACAATGCGGTAGATCCCATCGAATGACCGATGTAGAATAGAGTTTTTTGTTTTGTGTAATTAAGGATATAATCAATCATAGCTGGTAAGTCTTTTGTTCCCATTTCGTGAACGCTAAATAATAAAAGTATATTTTGTTTTCCCTTGTATTAGCTTTTTAGTCTATTAAAAATATCAAATAATTGTTGCAAATCTTTTAATTTAATTTTTTTTTATCAAGAATATCGAAATATACATGTATGTAATACATGTATGGACAGCATTATAAGTCTATATTTTTATTTAGAAAAAATCGATTTTAATTAGCAATTTTAGTTTTCTCAAAAGCTGTTTTTTTAAATTAAACAAAATAGAAGATATAAGACATTAAGATTAATATAAGTAAATTATTAAAAATATGTTAAAATTGATAAAAAATATAATCCTTTAAAATAAAATTTTACCTAAACTGCCAGAAGTCCTTATCTCGTGGAGACATTTTTATATGTAATCTGCTATAAGAATTTCCTCTGAAATTTCCAAGCCATACATCATATCCTTTATCAGCTAATAAAAATGCTATAACATAAGATAATGATGTATAATGAATTTTCTTATTACATGGTCGAATTATCTACTAATTAGTTAACTTGACTAAATTAGAGCTAAAGATAAGTTTTATCAAATATCACATTATTGTTAAATTATTGACAATTGTAATCATCTTTTTATGTTAGTTAATAAAAACAGAATTATTCCACGTGTCGCAAAAGATTTCATATGGACTTAGAGTAAACAGAAAGTGAAAAATATAAAAAGTTTTGCTTGATTACATCATTATCAAGATGACAATATAATTCTTTGAATCTGATTAACATAATTTAATAACCAATGTATCATGTGTTGACAATACATTGTACAATCACTCACCAAGGTCTTTGCCAGGACCAAACAACACCCAGGTATCAGATAAGGCAAAGATACCATGTTGAATAAAAACAATTTTTCTACTCTGTTTCTTAGATAAAGGACTTCCTGGTATTCTGTGTATTACCAAGTTATAACCCTGTCTCTTATACACATCTCTGAGCGGGCTGGCA